CCTTGTAATATACGAATAAATAAAGAAATGGTGTTTACCTACTCAAAAAAAAAAATAAATAATAAATAAATTAGTATTAATTTTGAAGAATCTGTAGGTCAATAGTGCAATGGTTAGTACTCCACAGGTCAGATTACAAGATACTAGTTCAACTCCAGGTGAAAGTGATTGAACTGGATTAAAAATGGTATTTGGCACCATAACCTGTTAAATATTGTTTCTCATAAGAAGCCAATTCACATGTTAATCCAGTGGGCGTTGAGATTGTGACCTAGTCATAAAAGGAGTTGTGGCATAATAATAATCCGGTTGGTGTTATGATGATTATTGAAAAATGGTCAAAAAGGTGAAAAAGAAGTCCAGTTTTGAGTAATGATTGTTTAGTAATCCTTTCCTATAATACCAGGTGTCTTTTCCTATAGAAGCAATTATGAAGATTCTTTCTGAATCACTTTAACAGTTGCCTCTTTGAGTTGGGCCACTGCAGTAAGACCGACACTGTGGGCCATTAATCAGTATAAGTACCTAGTTGTCTGGGTGGCTTAGAAGTTAGTATAGTATAGGATATACATGTGACATAAATATATTTTGCTATTGACTCAATTCCCAAAATCCTCAAAAATAATTGCGTCATGACTCAATTATTTATATGTTTTAATAGTGACTCAATTAATTGCATCAAATAATTGCGTCAATTGTGTCAAGAATCTATGAATTTCAGCAACATGTATAGTATAGGATGTAGAAGATTTTCTCAAATAGGGTTCTATTCACTCAAGATAGGTATCACCCAGTATATTACATTTCAATTTCTCCTTAATTCTGCACAAAACCCAAAATAAAACAAATTAGTATACTTTGCAACACTAATGGGGCTTTAATACATTAGCTTCGGCATTCACCCCTTATAAAGCTACACCGATAGCAACAAGCCGATATGGAGTAAAATTGATATAGTCATATAACATTGTAGTTAGGTTATAGATAGTAATTCCTGTAATATATGAATGTATACATATGACTCTAAATAATAAAGCATGATATGGCAAGGTCCAGCTGGTTGACCAAAATAAAAAAATAAATAAAAAAATATTAATTTTGAAGCTTATATCAAGAATTTTTATTTTTTAAAAAACCAATTAATATTAAACAAATAATTATTAAGATAAAAATATTATTAAATTTTTTAATTTTTAATTTTTGAGTTTAAAATTTTAAAATATTAAAATATCAATATTGTCATTAATATATAATAAATATTTATTTATTTAAAACTTAGATTATTTAAAAAATTTTAATTAATTAATATTGAATAGTTGATTATTAAAATAATTACATAATATTATTATTATTATATTTTTAAATTTTAAATTTTAATTTTTACTATATTTTTTATATATATTATTAAATTTTTTAAATATTAATTTTTTTTTTTTGCATATCTCAAATTGTAATCTTTATTAATTATTGATTCAATTTTTACAAAGTTAACTTAGTATAAAATTTATAAAAATAGTGATACATTGAAATATGTTGCTATAAACATTGATCTATACTATTTTTAAGATAGATATATTCTACAAAATATTAGTTGAAAAAAGTAAAAAAAACTATTTATCTATAAATCTTCTTTATAATAAAGAACATGAAAAAAACCAAATTTATTAAAAAAAGTATTACTATAATAATCCTTTTCTACTAGATATAACTAATAAATTATTAGTAATAATAATTTCTGTAAGTATTGATTGGCTCTATCCTAACCTGCTGCTACCTTAAATAAATTACAAACTTAAACTACTCACTCCAGTTAAGCATTGGCTGCTTTGTAAACAGAATAATATGAGGTGCAACTCCATTATTATAGTATTTGTTATAATGTTGTTATAATTGAAGTAAATAATTGGTATATGTAATTTAGTAGTTGTTGAATTTAAAATTTTTGATTGGTAATAGTCTTTCGACTATAAAAAGAATTGATTTCAAGTTTGTATTTTGATGTGAAATAAAGTTGTATAATATTTTCTGATTTGGGTTTGTTTTAATAATATTACTGGAACTCATGCAAGACATTGATCTCACACTCTTCTAATTCAATAGGTTGTTGTGTTGTTTTGATTTAATGGAGTAAGACAAAATATAATTAATTATTTGTGAAATATAAATCTTTAGATAGAGGTAAACTTATTTCAGTTTTTTGTAAGTGTAAAGGTAATATTGATAAGAATTAAGAACTAGTCAAAAGATTATAATGAATCTGGTACTAGTTGTTATTAGCATAAAACAAAAACTCTGAAAAAATAAAATACTGCCCTTTGTAAATAAGATTGTGTTTGATATTATATATAGTTTTGTAGTATATTAAGTAGTGGTGTATTTGAATAAATAAAAAGGTTTTTTTTTGTTTGAAAGTTACTTACATAGGTTTCACTTAGTAAAGCAAAAGGTTTAATCAAAGAGGTTTCTGCCCATTCCAAAATATTTATTTCTTTATGAAGAGTTAATCAATCTTTTGCACCTTGCAGTAAGTTAAGATAAACTTTTTTTTTAGGAAGAGGTTTTTGCTAACTATTTACTGTTTACCATTTATGTCATTATTTAAAAAAATTTTTTTTTACAAATTAAAACATTGTGAAAAAGAGTTTTTTATATTTAACTTGATTAAATATTAATTTTAAATTTATTTAAAAAAATATATAATTAAAAAATTATTAAAAATTATTTTAATATATAAAAATTTGATAAATAAAAAATATAGAATAATTTTAACAAAATTTAATTAAAAAGTATTGATTTACAAATAAATTTTTAATAATTTTTTATGAATAAAAAAATGGTTTATATAATTTTTGAATTTCATATTATTAGTTTAAAATAAAATTGTCAATTAATTATTAAAAAAATTTAAATATATTATTTACTATATTATAAAAAAATCTTTTTTAAAAGTTTTTATTTTATTTAAACAATAATTATTAAATTATTATAAAACTAATTTTTTTTTCAAACCACTGTATATATTCTTAGTTATTGTATTATTTATTTATTAATTATTTTTATTTTATTCAAAAATATATACAGTATATTTATTTAATTATTTAATTATTTATTAAACAACTATTATTTTTATAAATAAATAAGGTTTAAAAAAGAATTTTATTTTTCAAATTTATAATTCTATCCATTGTATAATGATTATACGAAAAATTTTTATACAACAAGATTGAACAAAAAACAAGAAAATATTGATACACATAAGTTCAAGTCTTTATATTTTAATTAAAATTATTAAAAATTCATGTTTTTATTATATATTTTTTTAAATCCAAAATGATTACAATAAAATAAAAATCAATTTAATCAAATTATCAATAAATTAAAGTTTATTTAAATGAAAAACATTTTATCTACAATATCTCTTATTTTTTCTTATTTTCATATGATAACATTAAAATTTTTATTTTACGTTATCTTTCAATTAACATAAAAAAAAAAATTTTCGTTGATGTAAAGATAATTTGAATAATTGAATTTAAGAAAAAAATTTTTTTATAATGTATATATTATAATAATATATGTATTGTTATTGCCATCAATTTAATTTTTATGGTCTTGGATGAATTATTGATTTCAATGTAAACATACTGTACATAATCATGACAATTAATTAATTAATCAGATGGAATGTTATTTAGATAATAAATCATAACTTGTTAATTAACCAATCGATTCAATTAAAATGTTATAAAAAGATATCAAAAGACCGACATGCACGGCATTTAAATTATTTGCTTATTATTCAAGTTTAAATATCTTGAGAAAACTTTGGATCTTCACAAATTAATTAATGTTGAAGATGATGCGTTCTTTTCCTTTTTAAGTGTTCGGCTAAAAGCGAACTAATTGAAAATAACAAACCTTCACCAATATAACGTTTTTAATATGTGTGGTTATATAACGTTTATGATTATTATTTTGTGAGCAACTTTATGTTCGTACACCAGATTACCCTTTATATGCAACGATGGATACAGCGAACAAATAAAATATTGCAATTAAAATTAATTCGGTCACATACAGTATATCTCTCAATGACCTATAGTTAAACTATTGTAAAAGATGAGAAATACAATCTTCGAGATAATATGATTTCAAATTAAAATGTAAGCCAATTTTAAAATCGCTACGTGATTTTTTTAACCTTTAAACTCTTAACTAAGTTTATATAATGACAACAATGACTATTCAAAAGGGATTAGAAGAAATTCATTAAAACGAAGTCACCTCGAGAACCAACGTTACACTTGAATTTCCAATTGATAAGTGCTCGTGTTTTTCTGTGCTTTGTTATCCATGATTTATCAAGTATATTTTACGTTAGCAAATTTCAACATCAATAATTCTTGAAATTTTTATTACAAATCCTTAATAATATTCACAAAGCATTATGTAACATATTTTATAATTGCAAACCAAGGATGGTAAATTTAATGATTCGATAATTCGAAATTTGTCGTAACCTAAATGCAGATTAACTAAGTAAAGAATATTCCACAAGATCAAATGCTTGTTGGTATTTAATTTGGTTAGACTCAGAATAAGGCCGAAAAAAAACCTTAAAACACCGCAATTGAAACTCCGGTTGGTGGCACAATTGTTAATCATAGTGTGCATGTGCATACATTGATGCATTCCGATGAAGTGAAAAAATCCGTCATTTATGATATGAGTGTACTTATGTGCTAAATAAGTTCGAAGAAATTTTTTATATCAACAACATGATCATTGATTATTGAAGCAATTGATAGTTGCAGTATGTGTAGAATGGCGTGTCTTGTTTTATCTTGTGACTTACACATTATCAATTCGAAATTGGAAGTAGGAACCAGTTAAAAACTCTCCGGTCAATCAGGAAATAAATAAATAAATAAAATAAAATAAAATAAAATAAGCATTGAGTATTTCTACAAAAACTAATATATTAATATATGATCAGAAACATGAGTTTGACGAGCCATTTCGTGTATGAAACACGAATCCAACGAGTGGATTTGCATATCAATGAAAACCACAGCCTGCAGGTCGGTACAGGTGCAATGAGTCACCTTCTTCTAGCGTGTTGATAACAATAATAGAATCGCGGAATTTACATTGAGGTATTTTTAGCTTTTGTGAAAGGAAAGAAAAAGAATGAAAAATGCACTCGGAATATCGAAGGAAGGTTACCAAAGAATTTGGGGATTTGTTAAGCAGAATTTTAAATGGCCCATTATAATCATTATTTTTGAAACGTGAGATAGGGATAGAATTTCACACGAAAAAGCCACAATGACTAGACCTCTGATATATCAAGTAAACAAATAGACAATTCAACACGATCCTATCAATTTAATGAGTAAAGATTATTGGGCGCGTAAGAGATTCAAATTTTATAAGAACTGTATTTCATTAATCTTTGGCAGATCACTACTTCTTGTAATTAATTTGTGCCATTTTAAGGTCGAAAGAACAAGGTACCTAATAACAATTCATAGTTTCGCAAATACATAGGCTAAACGTGTTTTTTGGATGATTGTCGGTTAAATGTACAACATAACCATGAATAGTCCCGATCGTCAAGTGTGGCGAGTGCAATGTAATTAATACTAGACGGCGTTCGGTTAATTACTCGCCACTTTGTGACCGAGATCCACCTAAATTAGCATTGTTCAGCCACTCGCGCCACAAATAACTCGTGCACAGTAAAATTGATTGGTTATTGGCTTTTATTCACCATATCTGGACGGCTCATGGAATGGTCACTATATTTTGTGTTCTATATCAAAAGATTATAAATATACCCCCTCTTGCCTATGCTTCAATCTCATTCCAATTTTTCAAAGCTTTCTCGAAAAAAAAAAAGAAAAAAAAAATGCCAAAGTCAGCACCAACCAAGATTATTAAAAAACAAAACAATTCGCAAGGAATCGATGCCGAACAAGCGGGTGAAAATCCATCGCGTAGAGTCACCAGTCCACCGCCAGACCTTGTGTTGCCTTTTCCGCCGCAGGTCAATGCTAAAGATTTGATGGACTGCAAAACCCGGCAGCTTCCTTCGAAACCACCAAACGCTTTCTTCATTTACAGGAAAGTTTACACAAAGGAATTAATTGCTCAAAATCTCAGATTTAAAATGACGGACGTCTCTCCCTGGGTATCAATGTCCTGGAGACGTGAATCTGAAGAAGTAAAGATTAAATATAAGGAAATTGCGAAAGAAGTTCGCCAAATCTACAAACAAGCAAAACAAAACAACATCAAAGACACCGAGATGTTATCAAACGAGATAATTGCCTTCACGCAATTTGGCAATTCACCGTTTCCCTCTCCGCCTCTTACCGACTCCCTGTCATCAACTCCAGAGCTATCTCGGGACTTTTATCAATTCGGACAAACCTTCCAGTCCGATTTACAAGCTGCCCTTGAAGGAAGTGAAATTGACTTTTTCGACTGTTCACCCGTGGACTACTTCCAGATGTCCAATCCACTTGGGTTCACCACCTTCCAACCACAAGACGTCGCCGCTACATTGTGGCAGGCCGATGACAGTTGCAACAAGGTTTCTTCCACTGGTATGGTTGAAACCGCCAATAGCATAATTCCACAAGCCGACTATACCGAACTCATGCACCAAGATTTGAATGATTATCTTCAATTCAACACCGTTCCACAGTTTGATGCCGAGCAAATTTGGAATTTCCAAGAAAATTTGGATTTCTTGTTTGACAATATGAACCAGACCCAATGGGGAATTGACATAAATCAGTAAAAAAATATAAGTCAATCACAGGTTTGTTGTCTCAAGAAATGTATGTATGTACGCATATTTTTAGATCCACCATAACATCCCGAAAAAAAAAAACATAATAGTAAATAAATAAATAAAATAATTCCATTGTATATGACGATTAAAATAGGATTTTCCTTATCCTCCCGTTTAGTAAAATAATATCTCTTTCGCAATAAGTATATAATAAATAAGCATCATAATTTCGATCTTATATCATAACAAATGCATTATCGTTTATCCGTACATTCATTCGATTCTATATTTAACGCCATGTAAAGATTCCGACATGTAAAATCTGAGTATTGTATGTATTACAGAAAAAAAAGAAAAGAAAAAAAAAAGAAAAAGAAAAAAAGTGGCATCATTCATAAGATTACATTATGTTCACGCAGAATTAATTTTTATGGAATTTCATAAGATCAATTAATATGTACTGTATGTTGTGTGTCCGTCGATCTATCAATTGACGCACGTGATTAAAATAAAAATTTTTGTTTAACTCGAATTACAGTTGGTGCTTTAACTCTTTTTGTGTGGCAAACTGTGGGTTCCAAGACGAAGATGCTACATAACACGTATTGTTGTTATGTGTGTGTGTTTTTTTTTATTTGTGGCAAGCCGTGGGTTTGAAGGCAAACATTTACGTATTGTTATTATGTTTCTCTTTAATTGTTTGTGGCAAACTGCACGCCTCGTTTCCCAGGGTCTGCCTCGAGGAAGGCTAGTAGTATCAACACGGTATCTTCCTTTGCGTCACTATTAATATTCTGGGGTTTTGTTTTCCAAATATTTGCCTCGTGTAACCGTTAGGACATTTTATTTCAACTTTAATTATCGTCTAACGGGAAACGATTTTCTCACAATTGGATACATGTCATGTGATTTGAAATTGGAAGAATCTAAAGAGAAAGTCTTCGATCAACTTATGTGCAATTGACGTCCGACCTGCATCTCCTCAATGACATCGTGTAACAATTGGCTACTACGTGGAAATTTCGTGTCACAATATTGTGGCTAGTGTGCTGGTCGAAACAAGTTTCTGGTGTCTTAGTAATTGTCTTTTGAGTAACAGTTTCGAACGATTTCGCAATTGGAATTCCGCGAACAACGAGCGGAATGATGCGTAATCATTTTTGAGGAGTCATTACGAACTATGATTTGGCATACAAGCCACATCATGTGAATTTTCACCCAATCATCAAATGATTATAATAAAAGGATATTTTTTCGGCTAAAATAATTCACCCGTTCCCCGCCGCTTATTTTTATCGAGCATTATTCATGAAAGAAGGAATAACTTTTGGTGTTCGGTTGATGCATAAAAAGTGACACACCGGACCATTATACTTTGTGGCTGGTGTATGCTTGCAAGCCACATCATGTGTTCACCGCAAAATAAGGTACTTAAAATTGTTATATGATACAAAGAAAGATATTTTTGTTCCGACTAGCCATTCATCGATTCATTGTAAAATTACGCGAGCATTGTTCATTAAAGAAAGTAACACACCTTTCTAGCTTGTTCTCCTAAAGAAAAAAGAACGCATATTCACGGAGATTCCAAATTTGTTCTTATACAGACAATATGAAAAAAAAAAAAGATGAAATGAATAAGTCATTGACACCGTGTATGAAACGATCTCGCGATTGGAGATAACAATTTCCGTTATCTTTGATGAAGGAGAAACCTGTTCCATTAAACAACAAAGAATGAGGAGTCATTGAAATATCGTGTATACGCGATTGGTGGTATCGATTCCACGAGAACGATTAGGAAAACAAAGAAAGTGCGCCATACGGACTACGAAGGGTGAATTACTCCTGATTTCGCGTGAAATACCATTTTCACACAAAGAACCTTTCAAAAAAAGGGAACTAGGCGCCAAGTAAATAATATCTCTCATTCTCGGAAATATTTTAAGCAGGAATCTTTGGGGGTAATATTCGGATCTTGAGATGCAATCATAACGTAAGCTGCGTACCACTCAATTTAACTAATAATTGTAATCATTAATAATTTGTATGATGTGGGAAGATGTTATAAATCAACATGCATCAATAAATGTATTGATAGAACAAATTTAGGAAAACGCAGGACGCAGCACTAATTTTTTGTTTCTTTTATGGTAAGGGTGTCCTGCGGAGTCCATGTGCAGCCGTTCTCCGAAAGACGATAAAAAAAATGCAAATCGATAATTTAAATCATAGGAATTGTCAGCTGTTACTTATTATTTAATATTATTAATGTTAATTGTAATTTTCTTCTATTTTATTATGTCTTTACAATTCAAAGCACGTGATGAACATCGTTGAACCGTGCGCAAGCGCGTGCCTTGCAGCGCAAGAAAATCAGTTTAAAAACGCCAAGCGATCATAAAGCCAAGGTATACGTGTTGAGTCGTGCATAGAGCGCTTTTCCTCCATTCTTTGGATTATCGAAGCACCTCATGGATCTTTAACAGCCAGTGGTTCCACAAACACGCCATTTTCTTGGCACGTCGAAAATTCCAATGGGCATCTCTGTACATCCCAAGAAATTTTTTTATCACGTTTACATAATAAAGAGAATACGGGATAAGGTAACACAAAAATGGAAACATAACGATGAATTGATTTACGCACAATTTTACTCAAAAGTTTTCCAGACCACCGTGCCGAGAATTTGTAAAAATAACGTGACGTTTGACGAGAATCCAAATTTATTATCGATCATCAAGTTGAAAACTTGGCTGATAGATAATAAATCATTATTCTCGAATAATTGACGTTCGAACGTTACACTGAAATTAGTTAAAAATTAATGTGAAAAAAAAAAAAAATTAATGCTAAATAAATAATAAATCCGTAAAGTTGTGTCAATAGAGTGGCCTACAAAGAGGATTTCAAAGATGACCAAGGATTCGATTAGAATCATTTTCGTTCGAGAGTTTTACATAACAGAGCATTGGTTAGGTCACCGCCATCGAGCTTTTCGTGACTCTAGAAGTTGCAATCATCGTCAGATTTCAAGATTTCGAGAGATCATTTGAACCTTTGACCAGAAAGTATTTATTTCAAATTTTATCATTTTATAGAACCCGTGATGTTTTTGAAAATAATTTCACCATTTTAACACAATTAATTGTTTTAATAAAAAATTTCTAATACCAATTATTTCGAAACTATTTAAATTTTACATGATGGTAATTTAGGATACAGTATAATCTTTATAATAAATTTTTTTATGATATATCTAATTTTGATGAAACGTAGTACGGTATAATAACAAAAAAAAAAAAAAAATCGCTTTGATAAGTAATTTTAAATTCGGATATTAATCGTTATTTATTTGTTTTTTTTTGTATTTAATGGACATATCGATTTTCTAAAACCTATTTTCGAATGACTTTGAAAGCTAGCACTCTGTTAATATTTTTATAATTATGTTGGATATACTGTATATACTGTATATATATATATTAGTAATTGTTTAAAAAAATTCTGCATAACCCCTGCCCGAAGCGTAGCCTGAGGCTGTCAAGAGTATTTATTAACATCATTTACAAGAAAACCAATAATTTCGTGATGATATTTTCGTTTCAACACTTCTTTGAGATCGACGAATTCCATAAGCACAAGTGCTATTATTGTATTACCTTCTGAAATTTCGAATATTTACCATAGCCCTATTTCCAAAGAAATTTAATATGATGATCCTGGGCAACCAGATGACGGAAGGAAGGAAGAGGAACAAAAGAATAAGTGACTTTTTTGTTCAATGTAAAAAAAAACTTGTATCGTTGGACGCAGGATCATGTGCCCGTACGATAGATTTGATCATATGGCATGACGCGTAATCGTTTCATTAGCCATTGTTTAACAGCGCAGGTTCAAAATTAGTCACTTATACCGTTTGTCATGGGTACGAGTGCATAAGGAAACATTTTTTTATTTAGTTTAAAAATGCATGACCATTACAAATTTGTAAAATGCATTCATTATTAACCGTTTGACGAATATTCTAAAGTTCTCATATTATTATTGTATTATGTGGCGCCACATGGCATTAGTCTCCTGCTCTAATGTAAAGTGAGATTATTCTCCAGTTACAGTAAATTTATCATTTGATACAGGATTTTTCTAGTTATCTTAAAGTTCATATAATGTTATTTTTGACGGTCATCAAAATACAAATATTTGTTCGATAAACAGCTTTACAAATTAGACAAGTAGAAATAAAGACCTCGACCTTGTAACCTGATTGGGTCGGATTCGTAACAGAAGTGGCAATAGGTAAAGATACAGTAATTTGATTCGATACTTTTGTTAGGGGAGTGTACATTATTAAATTTGTCACATGAAATCATATTGACACCAGGCTCACGTCATCTTCCAATCCACAACCGTATCTGCGTTTTTGCGTTTTCCGTTTTTCCTCTGACGGATTCAAGTCAACCAAATTATATGGTCGTGGTCTCTATCACTACTCGCCGATTTGGAAAGTTTTTTATGGTACCAGATTTTGCACCTTGAAAACCTCTTCGGAAAGTCCGAGTCAAAGGAGATGACTTAATTTGAGGGGTGGGATTTAAATTGGTTGTGAGATGCGATGAGCGGCATAATTGTTATTCTTAAAGAGACTTGGATGAGAATCTGTCCATCGGACGCTTGCTTTATATAATGGTTCCTAGCGTGCGACCTAATCTTTTGCATGCAATACATGAAACCCGCGTAATTTGTTCTTACGCAACGGTTTAAAACCCTGAATTTACAAATGTTTATGTTCACCGCATCCATTAACTCCGATCACATAAAAAATGTTACCTTCGGTTTGATCTACACGGGACACGTATCGCTGTCTCGGTGTGAAGAAAATCCGTGGCCTCCAATGCCCTCCGAGCGCATCTCACTCATCAATGGCATGTCGTGTTATGACGTATACGGACCATTTAGAGTTTGATGATAAGGTTATTACGGTAATGTTCATAATGACCCAATCTTCAAACATTCTCGCATTGTTCACCGTGGTGTTCCCATCACAAAAAGGAGAAAATATTTGTTTCACTCTTTAATCTTTTCATCCGCTAAACACTATTTTGGTTAACGAATCCATATTTGGGCATAATTACACGATGCCATTGTTAAATACCTTTTTTGTGACTATTGAACATTGTTGGGTCTCTTTTGGTAATAGACTTTTTTTTTGATTTTAAGGTTTTGTCGGGTCACCGCACCAATGCTTAGGAAATTTCTTGACGCAATACCCGAAATCGGAAATCGAGATCTACCTTCTTTCCCTTATGTAAAGTCCTCGAAGAGAAAAAATGTTAGCGGGTGTGGTTTCACGTTGATGTGTACCATGGGAGAACAAGGTAATATCCACATTGCAGGATTAATAAAGAATGGTAAATTTATTGGTGTTACTTTTTATTTTTTTGTTGGACCTTGATCCGGAAACTTTCTTTATACAGAAAAGGGTTCTTTGTGATAATCCGTGGCACCAAGGTCGGATCCGATATTTTCTTGTGTCAGGATATAAAAAGAACAAAGTAATCGATGGCCTCAACGTTGTTGTCCTATTTTTGGAATCCTTGTCTGGTGAAACATTCGATCATTTCGGTCACATGATATTTACAATAACCCATGATGTCAAAACTTTCGCGCATTTTTTATTAAAAAATCTTTGTTTTTGTCACAAAACTTATCACCGAATTTGTTTGCTCATTGTTCGTGCATAAAATAAATTAAATTCCTTCAAGATGTAAGAAAGCTTTGTATTCCGGGGTCAGAATCACAAGTCTTCAAACCTACACAACTTTTTTTCAAACAAGTCCATTTGCGATCTGATTTGAAGGTGACTCAATGATGAAGTTATATAAGTCGAGCACGCTCCCTTCCTCTTTTTTCTCCTTCAGGTTTTTGTATATACGTATCACACAAAGTAAAAAAAAACCTGTTTCTAGGAAAAGTTCGAAATCTACTTATTTGGAAACTTGTTGCTCTTCCTGTTTCCCATGCCAATTTCGTCAGATATCGTCAGCACACATCAATTTACGCCTTGACACTTTTCTAAAAAAAAATATTTATACAGTAAATCCCATAATAAAGAAAAATCGCAATAATACACTATTCGATTCCGTCCTTCCTTCTCAAAAGGATTGAATATTTAAAACTTTCATATCTCACTTAAGCTTATTGAAATTTTTCTGGAATGATGAACACGATGCCATTCTTAAACTCGGATGTTCTCCTTGAAATTTTCAGGAACCTCGTGGAAATTAATGAATTGGGCGCATACTCGAACGCTGGATTAAGGAACATTTACTCGTGCATCTTTGTGTGTCACCAATGGTGTGATGTCGCCATGCCCATACTTTGGGGTCAACCTTTTCATTTTCTGGAATCGGTATCGGACGACGAGGAGTCCATGCCTCGCAGTAGCGACAAATTACTCGAGATGTATTTCTGCTTTCTCAATGACCAAGAGAGGGAGAACCTTCTCGCCAACGGAATTGACATCTCCCTGGTCACCAGCCAACGTCAGCAGAGTTTATATTATGGCGAGAATGCTCACAGAGAATCGGACCTAAACGACGACGGCAACGCGATCACTCAAATGAGGAAGCCAAAGTATCCATACGTACAATATCTGAAGTCGCTGTCGTACATAACGTTGTGTACCGCTGTGGAAATGTGGTGTCAAGATCTGGACGACATAATGGTAAAAATGACAGGCGAAGAATTGATCGATGACGCGGAAGATATTTTACTACACACAATCTTAAATCTTTTTTACAATCGGGGTGCGAAGTTGTCAAGTCTCAGCCTCACCATTAACAACTTTTTAGATAAGAGAACAATTGCACTGCGTCGCTTCTTTGTTGACGATGAGTTGAGAAATTTCTTTGCCCCAATAAAGTCTCTAGAATTCAGTGTCATGTACACGGCCATAAACGACTTTTTGATCACGTTGTCCGAAACCTGTCGTCAGTTGGTAAAGTATTTGACGACTCCCTGCCTCACGTTGTACAAGGATATCTTATTCTCACACGTCATTCATTCTCTCATCTTTTTAGAACCATATATCCGTGCACACCTTGTGGTCACGTCACCACGAAACCCCGGGGGTTAGAGCATTCGAAAGATCTTTCAATGCACTGATTTCTGCTCAAACATCCTTGACTTCATTTCACCTCGGAGAGTGCAAAGGCTACACGCATGTATTTCTTCCCGCGCTCTATTCCTGCATCTACACCTTACGACACCTAAGTTTCGAGAGCGTCGACTTTCGCTATTGTGAGCCATGGAAGACTATCGCCGAATGTCGAAACATCATGTCTCTTAGCTTGATCCAATGCAGCAACGTGACTTCGGATATGGTTCAGCCTGTAATTAATTCGAGGCACACGAGAGATCTTGATATTTTCTATCTTGGCGACGGACTTTGCAGGGAGTTCACCGATTGGATGAACAATATCAATGGTAAGGCGACCACGAGTGATGGTAATAACGGTGGGCATCGCGTGTAAAAATGTTGGTCAACAATCAACGTGATCGTTTCCACCTTCTTTATTCAGAAGAATTATATACAGTATATATAATTCATGGTTTTCAAAAAAGGATGATTAAATATGGACATTGTCATAATAGGATATTTTTTAACCCCATTTATGTTGGATAATTCAAGGGACGATATTTTTCTGAACAATTATACTCTTTCCTTGCTGGTATCTACCTATAAATATATGTATTATAAAGATATTTCGCAAGATTAAATTATATGCATATGTAATTATAAATTTATATAGATAAGCTTATATTTATATTTTTAGGGATCTTCGGATTTTTTGGTGGTGAGGAATAAATAATGTTTCTGTACACTGTAAATGCGTCCCGGGTTTTCGCTGTAATTTCAAACGTGATTTGAGAATATCATTTCGCTCACTAAAACTTGGTTGTCCCCATGAAATATTTGGTAGTGAGATCACGTGAAGAGCACACGAGTATGTTCGTCGATATACTGTAATTGTAATTATTTGTTAATTAGGTTTTTGTTTTGCTTTTATTTTACTTCATTCATTATCTCTAATATTAATTAATCGAAAAGATCAAGTGATATACTGTATCTACTAGTGTATACAGCATGTTTGATTTTAATCCTATATATATTATATACAGTAATTTACAGTATATAAAAAAAAACAAACAAAATTTGTTCGCTGCTCTTTTTATGTTAAAGTTGATATACAGTACCATTCATTAAATAGCAACGACACCACAATTATTTGATATGATATTATTTAAGTAATTCATCGTGTATCCTGTTATGCCGTATATAAATTTAATTTAATTTATGCCATCACCAAACAGTTATTTGTTTAAATATAAAACGTGCGGTAAAGTATATACTGCATGTTAATGAATTAAAGCATCTTTTTTTTTAAAAAAAAATTACCATTATACCAATTTTCCTAATGACATCTTGAAATATTGTAAGAATAATTCCTTTTGAAATTTTTATATACTTGCAATATTATTCTTATAGAAAAAACATCATGTGCCTCATTTTGGCATTAATTATATAAATGAAGATTGTCTTGATATTAATATTAAATGACTTTTTTATTTTTGGAATTAAAAAAAAAAAATTATTACAATAATAATAGTCGAGTTGGTTTGTTTTTATAATTTAATAAACCATAATATATTTTACTACATACAATATATATACTGCATATACAGTATATTAAAGTAATAATGTTTATTTGTAATGTGATTCTGCTTAAAATATATGTATTATTATTTAAATCTTATATTTAAAATATGTGTATTATTATTTAAATCTTATATTTAAAATATATGTATTATTATTTAAATCTTATATTTAAAATATTAATTAATTTTATAAATAAAATTTATATATACATATTTAATTACAAAAACAACAAAAATAAATTTTAATGTTTTTTGTACAACCCTCGATATTTTAAAAATGACTGGTTAATAACTGTAGCAACTTAGTCAAAATATTATATTAATATTTGTTTTTTACAAATTTAAAATTATAAATATTTTATAGGTCTTTTTATAAAGATCAACAAATTTATTATTTTATTTATATTACTTAATTTTAAAATTATATAAAATTCTTTTATTTATAACAATAAACAAAATTCATTTCAATTAAATTTATATATATTTAATATTAAATAAATATACAGTATATATATATTGTAGATAAACATTATCACTTTAAACTTATTAGCTTAACAAATTATATAAGAGACATTGTTACTTTTTTTATGTATAAATTT